GACACACACTTCAAGTGCTTTGCTCTTATATGTAAATGGGGTTCAGTGCTTTTTCTTGTTTCATTGCGACCAAAGTTTCGATTGGACGCTCTTTGTTGAACTAATCGTTGCTTTCGGTTATATTGAACCCTTTTTGGCTGCAACGCTCAAGATTATTTTGCTTCATCTGTTGAAGCGTGCATAATTTTCGTCTTGGTCCAGAATTATCTGAGAAGGTAATTCAAATCACTCATTTTCTTATATAATTCTTAATACCGCATATATTTCCTGTGAATATTTGTAACATTTTGGCTGGATAGTGAATCAGGCTCACTATCAGAGATATGACTGCCCTGTGTATTTGTGAATAATTCCAAAATGGTACTGTAGGTTATATTTAAATCGACTTGGTTCTCGATAATTTGGGCTACGCGTTGCTCTGAGATTTGTTTATCGCTATTCAGAACGAGCGAAGGGTTATTTGATTAAGCGCATACAGACGAGGTATTTTTCGTTTCTCTCGGACCAGAACAATCGCATTTTGGTCCTTACAGTCTCTCCGGACTTGAGTGTAATGGTATGTTCCAATCCATCCCTTCAAGTGGCACTGTGGGGTATAGCTGAAGACTGCAACTTAGTCTTTTAAGGCTGGATATTCGAGGAAAGTTCTTTACACTCACGTAATACCTTATTGGAATAGTCTACCAAGAAATGTGGTAAGTTGCTCGAACGTCATAGGCTTCAAGAGGGCATTAGATGACTGTTGGTCTTACCCCTTCCCTGAAACAGTTTGATGGTAAGTACCTATTAGTTCTGAGCGCCATTGCCCGGGACGTGATATTGCACCTCACTTTCTGCCGTTCAGACACAACCTATTGACTCGTAATGTTGGAAGCCACAAGAACAGCCGACAACACATCAATCTGGACGCAAGATTGGCCCAGGCCCTACATCGTTCTGTGCAAACTAAACGTAACTGAACTGACCTGACTTTGACCGCGCGTTGCTTGAGTTTTGTCGTGATCCGTGAGTTTTTACATTTTGAGAAATACTAGCAACCTTTAAGGCGTTCTAGGTATGATTACATTTTATTTCATAGTCCTATATACATCTCTTTCCTGAAGTTTCGGGTTTGAGCGTTTTCCTGACTCCTTCTAGCTTGTTATTATCATAAACTGTTTGATCATGACACGTAAGATAATTGCAAAACCTAAAAGAGTGGCTCCTGACAGTTTATCTGCTGAACTACTAGATCGGTGCAGCAAATGCACAAAAGCTGTCGGCAGCAAGAGCAAAGCCCTGAGCTGTTTCTTATGCGAGCAGTGGTGCCATCGACATAGTGATTGTGTTG